CCCAGCGCTCGTTTGTCGGTATACATATATATGTACATGCATGCACATATTCGTTTTGGCTCAAATATGGCGCACAATATGGCCGCAAGCCAAGTGTGAGTAGCGGACGCGCGTAGGCCGCCGTTATTTTTTTTTTGTTTGTTTGTATGGAGGAGCGTAAAATCGCACTTTCAACTGACTAAGCCTAGCCTGTTGGCATACATAAGACTTGGCCAGAAAACACAGAGACAAGCGGAAGACCTGTTGTTGCTCGTTTGCTGTTTGCCATTTACGTTTTAAAACCGTTTACGGACTTTGAGCCTTTTTGGGTATGAGTTGCGCGTCTTAGCGCGTGATGTGCATTAAATGAGTTAAGTTTTTAAATTAAGTAAAATGAAAATCATAAATAAATTATCGAGCTGATATGAGCAACTCGAGTTGTTTTCCAGTTCCAGGCACTCAAACTATGCCATGTGGTTACTTATTTTAGAAGTACACTTTGATTTACATACCTACATAGTTTCAGGAATTAGATTACATTCTCACTTACGCACATGCGCGTCGATAACAAATGGTAGTCGAATAACAATCAGCCAATCCGTCTGCCAATCTATTTGCTTCCTAGTTCAAGGTAGATGTAGAGTTCAAAACGTCTTTATCAACTGATGAGCAAGTGTTGTTATGGTTAATTACGCTAGTGATCACGTTCGTAAACAAATTCACACGTTTGTACAGCCCGGCATGAACTTAAAGTAGCAATAAAAAATAGCAAGCGTCAATGCTTTCTGTTGCTCATTGTTCCTAGAATCGAAGGAGATTGGTTTACTCTACTTCAAGGGAGCTCTTAAAACAATTTGATGCAGTAACCACCGACAAAGTTCTCCAATCTGCAAAAAGGCTTGAGAATAATAGGACCTCCAGTTCCGATGGGGTTCCTGACTTAGTTTTGAAACCGGCTATCACCAACTTAATATCGTCGTTCACAGACTTGTTTAAGTCATGTCTAGTTTTGAAGAAGCAAACGCTGGTATTGCTGCCTAAACACGGTAAACCTCTAACGGCACCTTCTAGTTACAGGAACGTGTTATATGCAACGGTCGTGAAAACGAGGTCCAAGCTAAAGGAGGCATGTCTGATAACCAGTTTGACTTTCGAATTGGAAGATCGACTATTCACGCGGCAAACTTGGCTACACAGCTGGCATGCGATGCAATAAGCGGTTCGCGTTGGCTCGTAGGTTCTCAGGAGTATTGCTTAGTGGTAGCACTAGACATTAAAAATGCGTGCAATGCGGAAAACTGGGCAAAAATCGTAGACGCACTGGGATACCTTTGTACCTTGGAAGAGTGATACGAAGATATTTCTAAGACCGCTGGCTGGAGTATGAAACCACGTGCACGTGCGAAAACTCGAAAAATCTCAGGCGGTGTTCACCAAGGCTATGTGCTTGGTCATTTGCTTTGAAAAATTATTTATGTACGACGCAGTTCTTCTTCCCAAGGTACCCAAAGCGAAGAGCAATAGAACCATATTAAAACCATATAACATATGCAACTTCTCAGAAAGCGGCTTTTGGACTAACCGCTGTATCCCGAATAGAAATTTCTGGCTTGATAGAACGCACATCGAAGTAGATCTGTACTTAACTTAGTTCTTAACTGGACACGAGTGCTTTAAATCGTAATGATCCTATATGCAACCACAGCGATGGGAATGCTATAGATGAAGGGAACCATGTGTTCTTCGAATGTTCGATAGAAGATTCGCCGCACATTTGGAGCAAATTACTTACCTGAATCATTGGTCCGTTCCAGGCATCAGCTGGAAAGCAATGAAAAATGGAGATTGGCAAGCAACGAAATCGCCGATACGATGAAAAGATTTAAGGCTGTTTAAAAACTAATACGTAGCAGCGGCAATTAAGTTATATTTGGCGGCAGTCTCGTAAGGATCGAAATTTGATGCATAAAGCATTATCGATCAATTCATGATTTTAAAGCTAGGGGAGCAAGGTAGGGATCTTTGGTTATATCGTCGAATATTCAGGCTCCACGACAGACCTAACGGACTGAGGGTAAACGGCTTCGACTGAGACCGAATGATAGTAGGTGCGAGCATATAAGGAGCAAATCTAGCTTATGGCTGTCCCCAGAGCGACAGAGATAAATCCGTATCGATATCGATGTTGTGATAGAAGAGAGGCACGCATCCAGTAATTTGGACGTAATCGTTTGGCTCAGCTAACATAATTACGTACACGTCTCTGTGCAGCAAACAAATTTACGTCCAGCCATAGAAGGAAAGCTCAGCGATGTAATGCGAATGTCACCACCAAGTGCCACCATCTTCGCCATTCGCCTCGCACATGTGCTACCAGTGAAGATGTAGATATCACGCTTTACCAGTTTTGTGGCTCGGTCGATTGCCATCAGTTCCGTTTGAAAGACGCTACAGTGGTCCGGAAGACGAAAGCTAATGAAATGTAATGAAACAGCAGAAAAAAGAGGGTCGTCGACTGAACGAAGCTGCAGTCCGGCTGATCGCAAGCTAGGAGCTGAAGAGGGAAGCGAGACATATTTTACGCAAAACAGAGAGAGGCGTAAATGCGTGAGTGCGCAGAGTTTGAACTGCTGTCCGAAAGAAAAAGGTACGGAAGGTTTTTCAAAAAGTCGAGCATGAGGGAATGGGTGTGCCGCCTCATCGGTGGGGAGGAATTGGCAAGGTGCAAGCATTAATTCTTATGCACAATATGGTCAGTTAAGATACCTGACACCTGGACAAATCTACTAGGAAGGTGACCCCGCCATGGACATAGTTGAGAAAATGAAAATACAGCGGCTCCGTTGGCTTGGCCATGTCTTTCAAATGGAGTAGGTGGCTACAGAGCCAAACATAAAGAAGAAAAACAAGAATAAAAAGAAGGATATTAATAAGAGAATCACTCTTGCCAACAAGTTCTTTTTTGGAATGTGTAGGCAATTGAGCAGTAAAGTTCTCTCGATGACCGAAAATCACACTTTGCAAATCTCTCATCCTGTCCGTATTGATGTGTGGCGCAGAAGCTTGGACGATGACACTATCTGATAAGACGGTTTGAGGATTTTTGGCCCTTCACATTTATTAGATAGCCAAATCCATTTAGGCGGAAAAAAGGAAGACAAGCACTTAGCAAATTTGAGCCGTTTTGAAACAACAAACGCATGATTTTGTTGAATATTAGTATCATCATCAGAGATAGGCGGTTGTACGTTGAAATATTCTGCAGGAGTGGTTGGCCCAGTGTATTTCGCCAATCTTGCAAGAGGGCCGGACACTACCAGAGAAGGTGTTCAATTATGTTTCGAGCACGTTGTCGTAACTGTCGGCACAAATACGAAACAACGCGTGAGGAAAATAGCACTCAGACTACATGCCGTTCGAATAAATCTAGGCTCGGGTATTCGTTTCTCAATACATCGCTGCCAAAAACCTCATACCTAATCATTTTAAAGGCAGAGAGTAAAGCAAGTTCGTTATGCTTTCTATATAATTTACTCGAGGCTTGCATTGCCGAACTATTTGGGAAGTAGTTCAAGGGTTTCACTACAGACACGACAACACCTGCTTCACCACCTATTTTCGCACAACGTAGTACATGACCTTGCGGATTGCAAATATCTCGGCTCATGAAAATATTAAATGACGATAGGCGTAGAGTGCATTCAGAGGAGCCCCAGGTGTTGTGAAAGTATATCTAGTGGTTAAGTTTCTCAATAAAACTCCCGGCACCCATCCCGCACTCGATCTTTGTGCCAAGTCCGCCAAGAATGTCCGGAAAGCAGTACATCAGATCGCAGTATGCCCAAATGCCTTTTCTTGCCAGTAACACAAAGTCCGAAATCTATTATTTATTTATCAATCATACGAGTAAGTAACTACTTAATACAACGGCAAACCTACTACCCGCTGACGAATTTTATCGTTCTTGCAGCACAGTGCATACCAAGTTTGGAATGTTGATCATAACCACCGGTTAGTTTAAGCATCTTTTACGAAGTTTACTAACGCTGGGAGCTTGCTTCTCTTTTAACACTCTATGATTTCACTCATTTCCCTTTACGATATCGAAGATGTCTACGATCAGCACTGGAGAATCATTGAGTGAGTGAGTGATTCGAGTTCATCTCCAGCGTTTCAAATTTCACGGCAAGGCCAAGACAACGAAAAGGCAAGCGAAACGCTATAAACGCGTTAAGATAAGAGCAGCCCCAGCGGAAGCAGCGAGAACTAAATGAGCAACAACAACATCGGCACGCACCTAGGCAGCGAAATAACCAACGCGCAGTTTTAGAATGGGGAGCACAGCGACGCTTTTGCCATTTGTGACTTTTTAATAGCACACAGACTGGCCGGCAGGAAAGCTGGCGCAGTTATGAAAGCGCTGAGTTGAGTAAAAAAGTAAAGAAAACAAAAAAAACAATAATTAAAAAGTTTGAGCCAAAACAACAAATGAGTCGATTTTCTGTGCATTACAAATGCCACACTGGACAAAATATGAACGCAAATATCTTGGCGGCAGCGCGACAATTGCGATTTACGCGTCGAACGGTTGAGATAGGCGAATTTCGAAAACGCGCGTGTTAACTTGTTGGGTGTCAACAACAAAAGCAACCACTTGAATGTAACACAACTTACCGATCAACAACGACCATAGAAAACAGTTAAGAAATTCCAACAGAAAACAAAGCGAAAACAATAAATAATAAGCGAGTGAGAAA